TGAGAAATTACCATCCGTTTATTAATTAATAGGCACCTGTGTTTAAACTAGCTTAACTTCAGCGAGTAAGGTCAGCTGACAGATAATTTTGAATTTTTGACGACTTTCGTAAAATGGTAGATATTTCGGCAGTGCATTCAGAAAACTAAGTATCTCGGTTTTAAACACTAAAACCAAACTAATTGATAAGTGTATACATTTACTTACGAGTCTTTCTTGCAAGCCGCAGAATAATAAGAGGTACTTGAAGGAAAAGGCGCATGAGTGCATTTTTGTATAAATTGAAATATTAATGATTGCAAGTAAAATTAGTCTCACCAGTTTGTTTTTGCATCAATTATTAATTTTGAATTATCATCACAACACATCAAATTTAAATTGACCTCGCGGACTAATCCTTTTATACTTTCAATAGTCGATTTGGGATGCACCTGCATGAGAATTTGCAATGTTTTTCTAGGAAAAGTAAGTCACGTCTAGGGCCGGATTAAGGGGGTGGCCACATGGGCCGCGGCCCATGGCGGCAAATCTAGGGGGCGGCAAATTTTGCAATTTTTTTAAATGTAGGTATAAAAAAAATCGGATTTAGACAAAAAAAATTACAAACGAGAAAAGGCTACAAAATCTCTCATTTCCTGAGAGTATAGTAATTTCTAATTTTTTCATCTCTCAGTAATACAAGAGACGGCACCTGCAATTAGTCGAGTCAAGAGAGCAACCAAACACACAATTTGGCATGGAACGGCGCGACTTAGGGAGAAATGATGACGAGGACTTGAGATGAAAAAGAGAAGCCCTCGGCGCGGCAATCGGCATGTAACACATATTAGCGATTACAAGACTGCACGAATACTTCACGCATTACATCAAACATAGTGCGGTTATTGTGGTCAGCGTGAAACGGATAGTGCCTACAAGACTGCACGAATACTTCACGCATTGCGCCAAACTTAGTGCGGTCAGCAAACGCATAGCGCCTACAAGACTGCGTGAATACTTCACGCATTGCGCCAAACACGGTGCGGTCGGCGCGGCGCGGCGGCAGAAGTTAAAATCATCAAACCAAACATTGTGTTTGTTCTTTCATAGTTTTTTCGTTCATTTCTTATGAATGGAAGGCCTTGTGCATTAGAGATAGGTTTACGAAACTTGACTTTCGCGCAAAGATCTGTGACCTTCTTCTAGTAGTGTTGACTGGGCTTTCCCAAAAAATGTGTTCAACACGAGTAAACGCGTCTTACGCACCCCTCCCCCGCTGGCACGTTCATTTGATGGTTTTTATTGATGTTTCAAAACGAATGAGAAGGGGGCGGCAAAATACAGGCGGCCCATGGGCGGCAAGTAGGAAAATTCGGCCCTGGTCACGTCATTATTATGGAGCCATAAAAAAAATGAATACAAAATAATTATCTGAGAAGCTCTCCAAGGGCTTATACATTATTTCTGCATACTCTCTCAGCGGATACATTATTTTTGCCTTATCATATAGCATTTTTGAACGGAAAAATTGCGATATTTTGATATTAAATCGCAATTTTCTTACGATAAAATCGCGAGGATCATCAACATCTGAGCGATTATCATCGATCCTGTCGCAATTTTACCTCTTTCGAATGGCGTTTGATAAAATCAAAATTTTATCGTTATTTGTCACGATTTTTGCTCTCTAAAATTGCGATAAATCACCGTCGAAGAAATCACGATTTTATTCCAAGAGATGAAATCGCAATTTTTTATCCGATAATAAATATTGCAACGAATCGAAATCGATAAAATCGCGCTACATTATCCGATCAAATCGCAACTTATCGCGATCACCGCTGCTTGGTTGTAAGTTGTAACGCTCGAGTGGAAATGACCAAATTCTTTTTCACGGAAGGGAGTTTCCTTTTCCAGGCGAGAGGGAGGACGAAGTCACGAGGCGTAGCAGAGGGAGGCTATGCAGAAACACCGCGAGGAGCCGGACTATTAGGGAATTTGCAGGGGAACAAGAATAATTTAGAAGATTCTGCAAGTTAAGCACTGCGCTGCGCCTGAAATCCCGGTGGTGAGTCAACGCGGCGCTAATCTCGCCTTTTATCACACGACTGAAACGAATTACATCGCTCGGCGTCGCTAATGTTGCGTTCCTCGCGTTTGGTTTCTTCGCTCGCTAACGCCGGAATACCGAGAGAAGCCACCCTTTGCGATGCAATTTCAGCGCCCTCGTGTAAAACACAATTTCGCCAAGGGTGTGAGCGTGATGCCGGGGTTTTGGCATGTTTAATATATCGCGCCGGGCCGCGCGCGTGTGTGTGCGTGCCAACTTACGTGTCCGGGCAGTTGAGATTGCTGTCTCCTATGCAAAATCGTGATACCGAGATCAATTTCAGCGAATACCCACCTTCGCTATCTTCATCGTCCCTTGCTCCGTGCTCTAAGGTGTATCCGAAGCTTTTGTAATTAATTAACTTTTCACTTGGGAATAACACTGCCGAGCTGAGGAAGAACGCCGTATGAGCATTCGAGAGTTGCCAAATTTGCATCGATAAATTGTTCATTTTTTGTGAAGATTATGAACATTTTCCCTTGAAATTTGCGGGACTTTTCGGTGGAATTGCGAGCAAAATTACCTGACTAACTGGAAGAAAAATATTCGTAAGTTTGTCAGGAGATTTGAGTTTTATCAAAAAAAATTTGGCAACGCCTAAAGGTTCATACGGAGTTCTTCCTTAGTACGGCAGAACACCAACTTCGATGGTCGTTTGCGCCTATGCACTCTCGAGCCTCCCTTTTCTCTGTCAGAGCGACTAAGCGCGTTATACTGGATCAGTTACATTATAAAAGGGGAAAATTATGTGATTGTGACACATATGAAATGTTAATAAACTCCAGATTTTATAATCTTATTTTACCTCGCTATCTGATGCCAGGCAGAGGTAATTGAAATGTGACAGAGTGACGCGGAATGCGCCCTAGAGTAGAGGTGAGATAACTACACCAAAGCTAGGGGGTAGTTTTGCATAATTTGATGGAAAGAACCCCGAAAACTGACCTTCTGAACGGATGAAAGTTCGAGGACAAAAAGCGAGAAATTCTAGAGGAACGTTATTAAAGTTAATTGGAGTTGTCAGCTTTAAAGATTAAACATGAGATAATTAAAATAAAATTCAATTCAAACATTCATAACACCATTAAAAAGGTGACATGCAGCGCGAATCTTCGATTTTATGATCTTCAGACTAAAAGAAAAAGTTTAGCATCGGAAACTGCGTGAAAGTCAATCTTTTTTTTTATCTATACTCGGGTTTTTAACCTTACTGAACATTTTTAATTTCCACCTTGAGGCATATTTTGTCTCACTGTTTCACATGCTGTGTACCTGTCATGGTCAGGCAAGTGCAGAAATGTGCAGTATGTTAGATTCTGGATTTTAGAGGAAACATGGATTGCCAAAAGCTTAAAGTAATTCAATAAAATATAAATAGATAAATAAATAAATAAATAACTAAATAACTAAATAAATAAAATATTTAGTATGTGAAAGTTTTAGTTAAATTTTAAATTTAACATTGAAAGGCATACATGAAAATTCTGCCGTGCTAAGGAAAAACGCCGTATGAACATTCGAGAATTCCCAAATTTCCTCCGATATAATGTGTATTTTCAAGGAAAATTATGGATATTTTTCCTTGAAATTTTCAGGGACTTTGGGTGAAAGTGCAAACTGTGTCTGGAAAATTTGAAAGGAAAATATTCATGCGTTTACCAGGAAATTCGTGTTTTTTCAAAGGAAATTTGGCAACGCCTGAAGGTTCATACGGCGCTCTTCCTTAGCACGGCAGTACTCTAAGACCATGTCAATGCCCCGACCGGCTACTGACTAAAATATTCCCTTTTCAGTCTTAATAATCTACTGAATAAACATTTAAACTGGCAACTTCTATTATCATGGGGTCCAGAGCATGAATGGTTCTTTATTAAGTGCCTTCCGCACCTAGAGCGTCCAAATGACGGTGTGCTAATTCCTGGAATCATCTATTACACAGCTCAACCGTGGAAACATGCGTTTAGCCTGAGTATTCCTCCAATTCCTCTACCCCTTAAAATCACTCAAAACCCTAGCATCTCCTCTAGCAATTATGTCTTTTTGTAAAGGTCGACTAATTAACAATTTCAGTCATCAAGCTCGTTGATATCAGACCTCTATTCCCACAAGCATGGTGTGATGAGAACACCACGTCTTTGAGCTTCCGGACTCAATTCTGGGGAACTCGGAAACAAAACTTCATTTTCTTGGAACGTAACACCTCTTAAACTGAACGGAATATCTCCGCTATGATTTAGGTGTAGGTGCACAGAGATGCAGAATATAGTGGTCTCTCGATAATTCGAAATTGAAGGAAATCGGATTTTTCTTCGAATTAGCGAGGTTTCGAAATAAAGAGAGTTCGAATTAAAGAGATTCCATGTGGAGAAATTTCAAATTAGAGAGGTTCGAATTATAGAGGGAAAGCGCCATCTGGATTCGAATTATATAGGGCCAAATGGACGGATTTACGCCAAAACGTCTTTAGGTCAAAGGTCAAGCTCTTTTAGACACCCAGGTACATAAAGAGTTGACTTCGATTTGTAGAGGGAATGTACCGTCTTGTTTCGAATTATAGAGGGAGGGTCATTTTTACTTCCCACACTTCGAATTACAGAGAGAATTTTCGTCACAATTTCGAATTATAGAGGGCCGCGCCATGGCGCTTCGAAATTTTTAAGCTGCAGCTTAAAAATTTCGAACTAAAAGGGGAGAAAAATACATTGATTTTCTTCGAATTATCGAGAGATTTTCAAGGAAAACAGACTTTCCTTCGAATTAACGAGGTTTTCGAATTATCGACTTATCGAGGTTCGAATTATCGAGAGTCCACTGTATCATGAACTTCCATGATTTTTTTCTTTAAAAACTTTAGCAACGGACTGCTTCTGCATTCCTGAGCATACTGCGATAAAATGATTGGCTTGTTTACCTGTTCGACGATGGAGGCGAGTCGACCGAGGGCGAGCCCATGCTCATCTTCTCGGGTGATGACGGCACTTCCCAGCTTGACCACGATACGTCGCGAGTACTTCAGTTGTGACCGGTCGGTGAATTTACTGCGTCTCCTGTCGGCAGCTTGCAGAGCTCGTTTCAAATCGATGCCATGACCCTGCAAACATCACGTCTTCGTCAGATTCACACAAGTATCTCCGGCAAAGCAGTGGCGTGGGGTGCTTTGCTATATAGATTGATCTGCCATTTGGATGTATTTACGCTAAAAGGAATGTGCAAGTGGAAAGATGAAGTGTGCTCGTGATGAGCTGAATGAGAAACAATGTAAAAGTGGATATAGCTCCTTTTGAGAAAATAGAAAATCCGGATTTGACATTAAATCAAAAGGAACTGAGCGCTAACTCGTGAGCCGTGGACATGTGACAAGAGCCTTGTGGACACGGTTCATGAGTTAAAGACGAGCAAACACGACAACGGAGACGGCTTCGTTGCTGCTGACGTCACTGGCGCTTTAGAATCCCCATTCATTCTTATGGCCCGAGCACTAACGAGCACACCCCCATCTTTCCACTTGCACATGGTTCTATTTAGTATAAATACGTCCATTTATCCCATGAAAAAGGATCGACTTACAGGCTGTTTGCAACGAACACCTTAATAATCGATTCTTCACCATAGCTACAAATGGGAAAATATCGATAATCGACAATTCACGCCTCGCCACCGCGACATAGAGATGAACGAGCCTAAGCTTTTTAGGGTCTCTCCGCAAGGAAGTGAACAATTATCAGATATTATCGGCCAAAAATAAAATGGTACCATCTGGAATAGCGCGAAGGAAACCATTCACACCCCCCCTAAAAAGAGTTCACCTGACAGGTGGGATTAAAGAGGGCAGTTACTTGGTTCAGGGTTCTTGGCACTATTTGAGTCTACACGGAAAAAACGATATAGTTCTGAACACTAACTGTTTATATCAAATGGAGCCAGATGATATGGCAGCACAGCTGAGACCTACAGTCTGGCTGGACCTTAAAGTTTTAGGGCTCAGCGCTACTGCCATACTATTTGGCTCCATTTGATCTAAACCAGTTAGTGTTCTAGCAATGACGGATTGTAAAGAGCAATTTTTGGGCAAATTTGCAAAATATCCAAAACATAAAAATCTTTCACACCTGCTTGTTTATTTTTCATTGCGAGTGTTTATCAATCGCATAATGCCCCAAGGCAGAATCAGTATTTTTTGTGTGCCGATAGATAAAATCATTTAGCTTCCAATCAATGCTCTAAGCATTCCATCCACGGGTTTAAATTAAACTCATAATAAACAAAATAAATTTAGTTTTAAAATTTTCTTTTTGTTTATATTCTTTCGTTGTTGCTGTAAATACTGTTAATACATAGACAAAAAATATGACACGCGAATAAAATCAAATGTATCACAGATGCAATGCGTCTTATGATTTTATCCAAAATACAACCTCCTAATTTTGCTTTCCTGTGTTAATTTTCCGGAAATCAGAGTCATAAGTCGTATTAATTGTCTTTCCTTTGCTATAAAGCCTAAATAACCAAAATTAAAACTCCCCCCAAAAAATTAGTTACAGTTTAGTTCATTAATGGGTTAAACAGTTTGTTAGAAAAACTTTTAATGTGTAATCTGGATGTTAAAGTTAAAAATGAAAAAAGAGGAAAGTTAGAGAAAGTCCGAATAAAATGCACCTGGCGTGTAAGAACACTACACTAGAATAGAGGTTAAATCGGCAAGTTTCAATAGAAAATTGTCGATATAAGTAACTTATGACTCAGGGCTTGAGGCTTAGGTTAATTGGGCCGATTTTAGCAGAAAGAAAACAAGCCACATTAGCTATTTCCGAATTTTACGGAACAATCTAATTATTTGCAAGATAACGTTTGTGCGTATTCCTCGGAAAATTTTAAGAAATTTGCTTCGCAGAATTCAGAAAATTCACTGAAATTTGCGGAAATATCCGCTTAACCGTTTTCATGTCAAAATTAAATTTTCCCAATCAAATCTGGCAATAGCTGATGAGGCTTAGTCCCTTCCTGCTTGATGCGATCCAATTTAAAGTCGTAAAATAACTACCTTCATTTTTAAGAGCGGATGAGCGAGAATTTGGTGAACATTTTAATAATTGTTAGTGAAAGAGCAGTACTTTTTTATTCTCATCGCTGCAGAGTGCCGGAAAGCCTATCAAGTTTAGGTTCATATTCAGTGGAATCCTTTCACAATGTACAATATTTGCCAATAACAAACATTCCGATATGAGTTCCCTATTAATCTTCAGATAAATTCCACAGACAGTGGAAATACAGAGTTGCAAGACGGATCGATACATTTTCCCTTGCTTCTAAATGATAATTTATACAGTTATCTTGTGAGGAGATAAGTGTCATGTTTATTTTAATCAGTGGCTGACACTGCAATGGTAGGCTCTCGGTCAACTTTTAATGTACTTTAGGGTATGTTAGTAAAATGAATCCTATGAACCGTAATTACTTGGAATATTAGGAAAAGTGGCATCTCCACTACTCACGTGATTTTGTGAGTGATCAAGTAATCGGAGAACAGGGGAGGAAATATAAGAGATAAATATCAAATAGCTTCGCAGTTGTAATCAAACTTGTAACCTGAATATGAGTTCTGTGTAAGAATTCTGTACATAATTTTTTTTTTTTGGTACCTATATTTTTGTGAAAAATTGATTTAAAATTCGAATGGGAATGCATAATTTCAATTTACGAAATGAAATTGATGAAAAATTCTCTCTTCACCAAATGCCATATTTACTGACTCTTACAAAAGAATTAACTCAATGCATCGTGACATACAAAATGATGTAGGCTTCAGATATAATGCCTTCAAAATAATTATTTCCCATACTGATTTTTAATAATTTCAAAGATGAAATATCAAATATATGTTTTTTTTAGCACCTTTCAATACATAATTTACGCCCTACAGAAATAGACGGTGAAGATAATGTTTCTCTTCATAAGAAAATTGAAGCGAAAAGGAAGCACAGGATCGGCAATGAAACCGTAAATAATTTGTAAAGTAAGGGTGATATTAAAAGCCTTATAATTCGTAATATTTTTCAGACGGCTTCTGAGATTATTGAAAAACTAGGGATGATAAAACTTGAATTTAAAGGGCGAAGTTTTTCGAGAGCCTAACAAATGAGACTAATTGGGCGATGTTGCGTCGTGAAATTTAAGTTATGATAATCTCCGTAACGCTACTTTTTCCGCTTTTGAAGTTTCAGGAGAATAACTGAGGCATTTTTTGTGTGTGTTTAACTCTGGGCAATACATTTTTTCTCATTAAAACGTACATGTACGACAGCAGGCTTATCAAGAATAAAGACAACCCTATATGAGCTCAAATTTTTATCCCATAAATTATTCAAAGAGATCTGCTCATTCGTGTATTTGTTTTTTCCTCATCGAAGTTTTCTAGAAACTATAAATCTACTATAGCGCAAGAGGAAAAACAGGAAAAAGGATATCGATGGAAAAGTGTGAAACAGTGGCGTGGCGTGCTTTTGCGATATATCGATTAATCTGCCATTTGAACTTATGGAACTGTATCGATAAACAGGGTGTTCGCAACGAACACCTTAATAATCGATTCTTTACCATGGCAGCTTCAAATGGGAAAATATCGATAATCGATTATTCACACTTCGCCACTGGTGCGAAACCCTAGATCTCCGTTTGCGACGCTGCAGACTTTCTATCATACCTACTTCCCTATTTAATTTCTTAAAAATGTATTTGTTTTTCCTCTCTATCAGCAGAATATTCTGAATAAATTGCAAGTCATAAAGTTAAGTGTCTCTCCTCCGAAAAAGAATAGGAACCGAATTTTTGAAACACCGCAACGGAGATACGTGCAGGTTTCGTACTTGGGCCATCGAAAATAATGCTCAAAACGAGTCAAATCTTTGTAGTTTCCGAGTCTTATTATTAATTTGTTTTAAAAGAAAGAGGGAAAATGATAAGAAAGGAGAAATGCAAAAAAGGGAGTCTACATAACTTGCTGCTTCGCTATCTTCAACACATCCAACTATAAGTGGACCGAGTTTACCTGGAGAGAACCAACCGGCATTTTTGAAAAAATTAAGTTAGGAATGTTTTCGAGTTCCTCTAATCGTATGTTTTCTACTGCCGAAAACTCAAAGTCGAAAAAAAAATGTGTTTATGAAAAGAGGGATTAAAGTTCCTTTCTACATCGAGTTTTATGGAGGAATGGAACTTTAAACCTCTTTTCCTCAGATTCAACTTAATGTGAGTTGGCTCCTTTCTGATAAACTCGGTCCAACTCTTTTTTTTTTAGTTTTTAGTGAGCTTCCTTTCACATGGAAATATACAATTTTTTAATAAATATAAAATAAAAATTAATATATAAACAACCGAGTAGTTCGTAACTTATTTACGTGAGAGGTCCAAATCTAATCCATTTTGTTAAGTGAGGCCAACTTATACATCAGTGGAAGTACTTAAGGTGAGAATCATGCAAACGGTGAGTGAAGATACCTTACCTCAACCCAAACTCCGCCCATTGGTTACCTTGTTAGGTGTTAGCTGTTTAGTGTGTGTTATTCGTGGAACCAACATGGACTATAAATTGGATATATAATACATACCGAATCATTGTAATTAGAGGAGTTATTTACCGCGTGCGGGGTGCTCAGCGACAAATTGGTGGTGAAATGCCTGGCGGAGGTCGGGACAACTGTAAGATACCGGAGGGGCGCCTTGCTCATTCGACGCCCTAAAGACGCCAGCCTGCGCCCATGGGATCCAGAGGCCAGAACTACTTCACCGCTCTTCCTCAAGAATAACATGTTGGGGCTGTGACGGGCTGGAAAAGAGAAAAAAAAAATGTTTAATATATTTGCTGCAGCGAAAGGATTAAAAACAAATTCATCTAGACAAAATAGGGTTAACCAAGGCTAAACATCCGGTGTTTCAAAGACTAGACCAATCACAGCCTCATTTTCAACCGGATAAAGGTAAGTAGGGGATCATAGGGGCGTCTTTTTACGGCAGAAAACGCCGATGAATCCATTGCAGACAAATAGTAAAATCAGGCACGTTATAAAATGGCTAGGCAAATAGTCAAAGATTTACTTTTGGATTGAAATTATGATTTTTTTCCTAATTTTGGACAAATTATCAATTACCATCGTAAAGAAGCATTCTCTGTAAAAAGCTGCATCAGTCACGAGAATTTCAAACGATTTTTAGCTAAAATCTTGAAATTTTCAGCATGTAATGGAACTCAGAATTCCTAAAATGTTAACTTTAAGTATGAAAAACATTGCAAGAGGAAGGATTGAGGGGAGTTCATAGATTTGATGAGTTATTTCCCCCCAAAAGATCTAAAAATCATTAGCTCGTCGCCATAAATTTACAACATTTTGTGTCCAAGTTTGACTGTCTGCTTAGGAATTTGATAAAATGCCTGATTTGAGTAATTACCTGTGACGAATCTGCTAAACAATTTTGCATAGAGCCCCTCAGCGGGTTTACGTTCAACTGGCGAAACGACACGGCGAAATGAATACAAATAAACGTGCTCCTATGTCAAGAAATTGCCTGTTCTTGAAAATTGAAGGAGTTTTCTCAATCTCGTTGACAGTATACTCTCATTTGGAAGTTTCGATTCTCGAACAGTGCGGTTTCATTGAAAGAGAAATTTTCAGCGTATTTAATAGATTCAAGGGTTGTTTGAAAATTTCTCTGAATTTTATGGACAGCACGAAGAAAATTCAGTGAAATTTTTGAATAGTTTCATTGAAAAATTTCTATGTATAGAAAGTACAATTTTTTCGGTAATTTTGAAACGTCGCATGGCGCTTGTGATAGTTTGGCTGAAGGTGACGATTCGGGAATTCGTTTATCGGAACTGAAGTTTGGCAGTCAACCGAACTTGATATTAATTTTTTCAATATATTTCAGTCTTTGTGAATGAAGCTTTTCCTGTATGAGAGGCTGCGATTTTCCGATTTAGATGCGTCGCTGTATTGTATCTGCCACAGAGCCTGCAGCAAAGGAAACTACTTGGCTGTTTACAACCATTATCTTGTTACTTTTTTGGTGATGATGCAACGCCGCGCCGCGGTGGTCCATATAGCAGTCACGTGATATCAGTTTCAGCACAAAATTTCTCAATCGCGTCACTATCACGTGGTCGGAATGAAAATTATATTTGAAAATTAGAAATTCAAAACATGGTACATGATGTATTAAGCTAATGTCACACGATCAACCCGTGCCATCAGCATATCAAGTTCAAGTGCTGTGATTGGTCCAAGTCATCGAGTGAACCAATCCCAATACCCGACCTTGGTATTATGATAGCTTGGTTTGATCGTGTGATATTAGCTATAAGGTGCTGATAAGATAGTACAATTGCATCCTTCCTTTGATGAACAGCAGTTGCCCGAGAAGGTTATTGTCCTATAAGTAGGATCAAAAATCGAAAATTTTCCAATAAAAATTTCAAGAAGCCGGAGCATGTAGGTCTTTCAGCAGAGAGACGCCATGCATGTTTCTACCCACACTTGATGGTGCGTTTAAGGTTTTGAATTTTCCTCTTTCTTGTTCGCGTGTGGATATGCATGCTTTATTGTTTGGTTCTCATGTTCTTCTTAACTAAATTAAATTACCTATTTTTGATGCAAGCGATTATTTAGAAAGAGAACGGATTGATTTGAGCAGAAATATTCTCAAACTTCCCGCTGAGAATACATTTTTCTAAGTCAAGAGAAAAAGAGGCTTATAATAATACTGAAGAAAGTTGTTAATATCTGGCATAAACATGATTCATTCGAGCATTTTGATTTAAGCATTTTTTATGATGGCGGAGTCAAAGAACTTTTTCACCAGTATTCTCTAAATTATTTCTTATGTAAAATTGATGACTAATGGCCTGGAGGGCGATCTTTTCGCTTTATTATGCGTATAAATTTCGCGCATTCCAATTGAAATAGGTATACTTTTAAAATAGGTAAAGCTCACGAGAAGTATTGCGGATGTATATAACACTGTAAACATACTGTCTTCGAGTATTCTCGAAAATCAAAATATTTAGTCGGAATATATGACAACATCGATAGCTGACCTGTCTGACCCGAGATAAATGTCGTTGAGCAATTTTTGCTTCCGATCGATTCATCTCGTGCCGACATTCCAGGTGAATTGGGGTGATATCAGAGTACATCATAGCACCCAAAGCAATAGTTTCAATTACGGAGTGGCACTTGTAATTAATCATCAAACATTCAAAGATTTTCGCATTCTTTGAAAGTTATTAATCAAGCGCGATTTCTAATGGCCTGGTTGCGTAATTGATGCAAGCAACTTATGTCGTTTAACTTGACTGAATTATTAGAATAAAAGTGAAAACAATCATGGTGAAAATTGGCAGTAGAATGTGTGTTCCAAAATACTATAGACCTAAAGCCGGCTGTAAGATTCCCACTAGCTTCTGTAGCTGGCTGTACAATTTATTATAGCCTTGTATAGCCGATGGTGATTAAGCAACAGCCAGACGATAAAGTTTATGCTAAACGTTACTAAATACGGATACTAGGACTTAGTTAGTTTTTGGACCACCGCTCTCTTTTTGTGCCGTAGAATCTTGATTTATTTTGCAAGGAAAGCTCCGTACCTTTGAGGGATGCCTGTCATTCTTAATGGACCACTAGATAAGGTACGAATTTCAGCATTCTGATACATGTTTCTTAACCAAAATTTTACGTAAAACACGATGAACACAACGAAAATTACTGAAATTAACTCCTTACGAAGATATTTAATGATTCTTAATGCGTGAATTCAAACCACCCGCTCATGAAAACTCAATGCTCTACGTGATTCACATCGCGCGCTAAACGTTATCATGACAGTCTCTGCGATATAAAAATCTGGCAACCTCAATCTTGACGCTTTGGCTCAGTTATAGCAAATTGCTAATAGTTTGAACAACACATGATGGGAAATGAACATTACTCGATTGAGAAGCTTGCTGAAACCGTTGTAGTGGGCGATTTGACTCACGTAGAGTTTTGAGTTTCTTGTGAGGGGGCAGTTCAAATTCCTCGTAACCAATGTGAAATAAAAACGTTAATATCTTCGTTAGGAGTTGGTTTCCGTAATTTTCGTTGTGTGAATCGTTTTTTACGTGAAATTCTGGTTAAGAAACATGTATCAGATCGCTTAAATTCGTACCTTGTCTAGTGGTCCATTATGTTGGAGCGCCTTCAATTTCTTATGATACTGTGCAATACCTCTGGTGTGAAATAGTTGCTTCAAGCGCCGTGGTACGCTGCGGCGCGGCGGGCGGGCAGCCAGCGCGAAAGGCGCATTAGCGCCTACAAACCTAACAGGGATACTTCACGCATTGCGCAATGCGTGAAGTATCCCTGTTAGGTTTGTAGGCGCCAGTGCGCCGCCGCTCCGCTTTGTGTCAGGCTCTAGTATTTAATCTCGTGGAGTCAGCGTTTTTCAACTCATGATTTTGAAACTTTTGCACACTCTGTATGAACTATTCTCATTTTAATTGATGAAAAAAAAAATATGTTTTAAAGGAAAATATAATGTGTGTTATGTGAACATAAAGGTAGTTCCGTATCAAACTTGATGATTTTCAAAGCACACGAATTTCTACACAATTTCTTATAGCCTTTTATAGCCAATGGCGATAAAGTGTAAAGCCCGGCGATAGGAACTACAGTCCGACTATATACTTTTTTATAGCTTCGTAGAGCCCGGCTATATGATTTGCTCCGCTTTCTATAGCCAGCTAAATGATTTTCAATAGCCTTCTTTAGTCGGCTATAAGAAATCCTGTGGTATTTTGAAACGCAGCTCCTATCGCCAATTTTTACCAGGGAAGTTCAGGCAAGAAATTATTACTCTCCCGGACTATCGAACGCGGCAGAGGTACTTAAATAGCACGCGTTAAATTTCAGGATTTTTTGCGTATTTTTCTAGAAAAGTTCATTTGAAGTTGGCAACCTCAGATCAACCCTATGTTAACAATGTAAAAGCAACGTGAGACACCAAAACTTTAACATCAAATATCTCTGATGGTCGCAAAAAGTCGCAAGATATTTTCGGTAGAGTTGAAGTTGGATCTGAAGATTAATAAGAATTTGTCCCCATGTCCCATGATGTAAATACCGTCCCCTAGTCTCCCATCCCGGAAATAACTTAACATATGGCAATAACAACCGGAAATAACATAGCGTAAGCGTCTGTATATTCTAATTCTTACACAAGAAGATGAATTAAATAAATAAAAAAAAGAGATGCTCAATCCAAGAGAAGCGTAGGAGAAAAACTGCGATGTATAACATGCTGTTACACCCAGAACACACACCAATATATGCCTTCTCTTGTTCATGCTATCACACAATCGAAAAGTTAAAACTAGATTTATTTTATTTATTCAATCATAATGAAAAATCACCCGAGTTGTTTTCCAAAATATTAGCACAATGATGCTTTCCTCCCCTTTTTTTGAGCGATCCGTAAACAAAAGCCAACGAGTGGAGTGCGAAAAAAAAACGGAATGGGAATACGGGCGAAAACGAACAATTTCCAGCGATGAAAAGTTGAAGTGTTTATGCGTTTAATTTGTTGAAGTATCGAGGCATTAACAAACGTCAGAATCCTCACACGATTACACACTACCGCCGTGCCAAGGAAGAACGCCGTATGAACATTCGCGAGTTGCCAAATTTCCTTCGATAAAATGTTCATTTTTGAGGAAAGTCAAGAAAATTTTTCTTTCAAATTTTCAAAATCTTTAGGTAAAATTGTAAACTAAATTATCTTAAAAATTGGAAAAAA